CTCCTTCGTCTTCTTCGAGGGCTGTTTCTTCCTTGTATAGCTGACGTAGGGTATATGTATAGAGGATAGCGCGCCCAAACAAGCGAGAAGAAGGGTGGAAAGTTTCTTGGCGCGCCGTGGTTTTTCGGGGCTCGTCTCGAGCAACATAGAGGAGAGAGGCCCTCGGGACGACAACAGCGTAGCAGACGAGGAGTCTTCGGGGCTGCCGGAAATTCACGGCTCTGGAATTGTGCGCGAGCCCTCTTCCCTTCTCGACCCCTTACTGTCGCTGTGCGGAAGACCCTGAGGGTGTATATGTATATGTGTGCGCGTGTATGTAGAAATGGAGGCACACCTCGAGGCCTTTTTTGCATGTTGCGTGCCTCTTGTTCGGACTGAGTGAAGTTTATCACCGGGGATCAGGGGTCGCTGATGGTGTATCCGTATTTTTGACTTTTTCAGGTTCGTTGGGCTTTCATTGGTTTTTTAAATAAAATTTTATCACTCATGAAACTAAGGGTGCAATAAACGCCTCCATTATCAATTGGATCTGAGCTTTAGAATACAGACACAATCGTAACGGTGCAAAGTATGGACATCAATGATTTTTTTGTAAATTTGTTCAATTATACAGCCTAAAAAATTTTAAAGGTTAAAATTAGTGTTTAACTTTAACATCTCGATAATAGATATATAGGTAGATTTTATATTTAAGTGGTAATAATTGTTGATAATTTATTTTTTAATGTCGAAACATTTACTCATTGCATACAGGCTTTTTTTTTAGTTCATCGATTACAGGGAATTTTTTGTAAATACAAGATTGTCTTGTTCTCGTAAAAAATCAGATGCACCGCATGATAAATAAGATAAATACCACATATTATTTTCCACTACCCGCTGTATATCAAATTTATTTACGATCTCTATCAATTTACCGAGCACACCCCCCTCGTACATGCACATACAGGAGCATACTCTTCTCAAGTTCAGAGCAATAGCAGCAGGATTGATCTTTCCCTCGTTCCGTATCCCCTCTGACACGACCATCCCCACGTTGATTTTTTTTCTCTCTTTCTTTTTTATGAGACGTTATTGATTCTAATGATATTTTCGTTCGAGCGACACCTATATGTACTCACCAAAGCATACGACGCCCGACGCCTGTAATTGATACGCCCCTTGAGTCACACGAGACGCCCAGGCGTCGTCTATTTTGGCCCGCCCGAGTGTTAGGGCGAACGGAATAATCGATAAGTAGACAGCTCCAATTTTGCCGCGCGATTCGATTATGCGGCAGGCGCGAGGCTGACAGGTGATTTTGCGCTCGTCATCCGACATTTTTTCTCCCCTGTTTGCCTTTTTTTTTCTCATCCCGTTTCTGCGAACTACCAAAGTTTCGTATTCGCTAGCTTTACTTTGATTTATCATCCGAAAACGATTTTTTTAATTGACGTGCTAACCTCTCGTTACGCTGTATGGTTTGAGAATTTTTCGTTGTGTGCTTTGAGTAATTGAAAGTTGGTTGTATTAAAATTTTCATGCCCATCATAGTGATACCAAAATATTTAATTGCAATAATATTACGTGGGTTGTGTTCAAGATGTTACGTTACGCAACTGTACTTGACAATAGAAAGGTAATTCGAATTAATTCAGTTTATCTTAGCTGTCGTCATATCACAACACTTTTATTTAACTTTTAATTAATTATGTAGGTCAACGAAAAAAACTTAAAAGTCGTGTGTTATGCGACGAGTGCGCAAGGCTGGTGATTTTTGTACGGTTTGTATGAACTTTTGTTCACTTATTAAGCGGTGTATGAAGTATTTTCTTTCGTATTTTTCTCAAAGTATTAAGAAGTATTCTAATAAAGTAATTTTTTTCAATTACCAAAATGTCTATGCTAAAGAAAAAATAAATCTTGGTAGGGGTCCATTTAGAAACACAAAAAAGGTTAACTATGAAAAAAATTGAACAAAAATGGTCCGTCTTAAAATGAACATGCTCTATTTACAAGGCATGAAAAAAAATTGTATCACTTACATATTTTACACTATTAAAAAAATATGTTTTGTAACTGTTTTTCCGGTATATTAGCTGTTTGTATTATACATATATAAAACGAAAGAGGTATTTCAAATACATTTTTATGTACTTAAATGAGCAATACATCCTTATCTATGAAAGCAAATATATGATAGCTTTATTTGTTCATTTATTTAAGATGATAATAAAAATGTAAGCAAAGTTGCGTAGTAAAAATCACGAGTCTGCGCACTCTTTTTAACAACTTTCTAACGAATTAGGTGTTCCTTGAATTAAGAAGAAGTGATTTCTGACACTAGTATCCGAAATAGTTACTTTACGCACAAAGAAAGTTGAACAAAGAAAGTTTTTCGCGTTGCTTTGAGTGTATAAAATTGAATTTTCCCCAAGTGCAAAATAGTGCAGGAAACGCTTATTTTCCACACACTAATACGAAAAAAAACCCCCTTTTTTTAGAAGCTACAGTATATAATTTCTTCTACCGTCTGCGCAAAAGGAGTCAAAATCCCTTTCCATTTGATTTTTCACGTACTAGTCGACCCCCCGCGCTTCTCCTTCCTTTTTCCTCGAGCTGAGGATCTCTTTGGAAATAGCTGATACTATTATAAAGCTGGGGAGTCTTGTGAGAACCCAGACGAGGCACTTGTGACTGCGTGTCTCTCTCTCTCTCTTCTCTCGAGAACGCATAATCCCCTGTCAAGCCAGCCCGCGACCCCGAACCAGCTGCGTGTACATAATATTGTGTCGCGAGAGCGCTCGCGTTTGTGTATACAGAGACTCGCGATTTTTCGCGCATAATACAACTTGTACGCGCACACCTGTACCCACTCCCCGCAGCACCTATACACACCGTGCGTATATTTCAGCGCGAGCCTTATTTTCTCTTATTCTTTTTGCCCCTCCATTTGTCTGCTCTCTTATTTTATTTATTTTTTTTTTCCTCTTCTTCCTCTTCTGCGAGTGCGCCTCATTTCATACGAGCCTTCAGCAGTGGAGAGCCGAGAGAGACAGAGAGCTCTATCCTCTTTGGTATACAAGTACAGCCTCCGACCTCAGAGCGTTCGAAAAGACAAATTGTTTCGGAGCTTTCCATTCTTCTTCTTCTTATTCTCCGCGTTTCTCCCTTTCTTACACACATACACACATAGCGGCTACAGAAAATATGGAGGAGGATTCGCTGCGCATCGAGACTTTATTTCCCTCCCTCCGCTGTCGGCACAGAGAGTATACAGCCGCCACCCGCTTCTTTTCTCCGTGCATTGCGCGTATAGTACCTATACCTTGTCGTCTCTGCTGCTACGCTCTCCTCTCCACCACTTCCATTTGAATAAAAGCAACGATAAGCACATCCTTAAAAAGAGAGAGAGCAGCTCGCAGCTCTGAATTGTTTCCGCTTCTTAAACCCCGACAAATTTATTATAATAACTACCCTCAGTCCTCCTCCTCCTCCTCCTCTCGGGGCGCGCGTGCCTTCTTTCTTCCTTTCTCGCGAGCCGACATGACTCGAGACTCGAGTTATTATCATCCGCGAGGGCCCTAATGCTCGCGCTGTCTTATCGCTGCCAACACGCAGCGGGGAAAGGCGAACGTGCGCGCGCCCACATTCTTTCTCTCTTTGTTTGAATATAATATTGGATTAAGCTGTGTTTGGTGTGGCCCTCGGCTGTGGGATCCTTCATGAATGGACTTGTGAGCTAATCAGGTGCTTATTAGATCGCAACTTTTATTTATTACATTTGTTCTTGAGATTAGAAATATATGTAAACATTAGAGTCTCCAGGAGGAAATATTAGAAATTGTACACACTTTACGACAGGTTTTGGGTACGCATAGTCCAGTGGGGAGATACGACCAACCAACCCAATTGATAGTAAACTGAGGGGATATCTTGACAACAATGTGCACATTGATATTAATGAATATTGGATTTTTTCTTTATCACTCGAGTTCAGCGACATAATAGCGAAAGTACGTAATTCCGATAACGATTTTTTATCTTTGGGTACATTTTTTTGCTTTGTACTATTTTAAGTTTGACAAACAGTTTAATTTAAATGAACACATGATTACAAGTCATAAACTATTTAATAAGATAATTGAATGTGTGCACTTGAGTGAACAAAAATATGTACCAATAGGTACCATAACTTGCTATGAAAAATTAGAAAATAACGAAAATAATAGAACAAGAGAAGAACTGTAAAAACGCTAGCAGGCCTGTGTGTATATTAAAACGCACGTGCGCACAGAGTATATATGTATGTACGTATATACACAAATATAATGGCAATATAAGGCAAAACTGAGAGAAAAGAGAGACACTGGTTGTTCTCGTCGTGTATTAAACGCGAGCTCCTTGTTCAAGGAGTAGTGCCTTTTTCCACATCTTTTGTTCGGCCCTTTCTCCTGTACACTCACGCTCTTTTTTCTGCGTTTCATCCTCTATTCTTAATGAATACGTACGCTGGGCGTACTACTACTCTCTCCAGCTCTCATAAAGGACACACAATGCTTTTGCTACCAGTTTCTCAATTCTTTCAAATTTTTCGCGCTCTAGGAGAGTAGGGGCCAAAGATGTCCCTCTCAATCTGCTGCGAAATCCTGTCTTTTCTTTTTTCCTCTCTGTTTCTTTTGTCGAGAACAGATGAAAAACTTTGAATGAAAATTTTTCGAAATCTTCTTCCACATTTTTGTTTTTGACCCTTGAGATTTTCAAGAAAAATTAACCACGTAATCAATAATTTACTCGTTGATTTCCACAATTTTGTATTGAAAAGTATGGAAATGATTGCTGTTAACTGGAAGAAAATTGTAAAGAGTTCTTTGAGAAAAAATTATCCATGCACATATTAATTCTGTTTATACATTAAAAAAAAATGAAAGCATGATTATAAATAATTAATTTTTTAGAAGCATCAAATAGTTTTATTTATTTATTCTTTTTAATTAAATTAACACAAAAAAATTGAATTTTCATTCAAGTTTGTAGCTTAACTCATCGACTTCGTTTATCTCTCGTACTCCTTCTGTCACGTCGTTGCTGACAATCCAAACAGCTCCATAGTCTCCCTTGTTGATTATTTCCATCACAGCAATGGCAACACTTTCTGGCCTAAAATGGCAATGTAATTAGTTTATCATTATTTAGGCCAAAAAAATATTCCATTTTCACATTAACTCTTACTTTTGCATGTAAGCAGTTTTGAAATATTCCGAGAGAACTTTGCCATCAACAAAATCAAGCAATTTTTTCGGTAATTCTTGTTTGTTTGCCAACGGTGTGTTTGTCAAATTAGGACAGAGACACACGACATTAACTCCGAGACTTTTATTGAAATTCTTGAGAGTGAAATATATGAACGTACGTTAGAGTCTTATGAAAAAAATCATTTCTTAGATTCAATGGAACGTTTTATTACATATAACTGCTGAAATATTTTATCAGAGTAATGGTATTAAGAGAGGCATAAAGTACTTGATTTAAGAAACACTGGTGAAATTAAATATTTGTATATACACAAGAAGAAAAATTTATTTTTTTTTATTTTTTTGCTTCAATCAAAAATAATCAAATACTTCTGAAGAAACACTTTGTCACCACCGCGTAATGTAACATTTCATTGAATCCAAGAAATTCTTTTTCTTAGTGATACGTATAAAGAATTTTTTTTTAATTTTTACTTTGAGTGATCTAACAAAGGAAACGACAGCGTGCTTTGTGGAATTGTACACAGGAAAAATTGAGAAGTTACGTAAGCCCGCCGTTGAAGCAATATTGACGATTACCCCTCCTTTTCCACCTTTATCAGTTCTCATATGATCGATTGCCATAAGTGTACCAACCACTACTGCTTTCTACAGACAAATAATTACATTTATAAAAAAATTCTAATGCACTTTATATTATGTCATTATTACTCACATAATTAATGTCGATACTCAAATCAAGTTGTTTTTCATTTATTATTCCAGCATTGTTTATAAAAATGTCAACACGTTTCTTCAATTCGACAACCATATCAAAATTAGCTACAAATATACGCAACCGCAAGAACAAATTTTATCAAGAAGAAATTTAATTATGTTATGTAAATAATGTACCTACCTTTGAATTCATGCTTGTTACTTACGTCACACGAAAAATACCCGAATTTATTTTTATTGAATTTTTTTTCCAAGTCTTGCAAACTTTTTAAAACTTTTTCATCATTAGATTTTGGTAGATCAAACATAGCGATGTACTGCCAAATTTTTAGAACAATTAGTGTTACATTATTAACTAATCAGTTAATGGTGGCTTAACATACACAAGTTATTTATTGTTACGAACCTACCTCTACTCCATTTTTCAATAAGTGTTGTACTGTTTGAAACCCAATTCCTCCGAGACCACCGGTTATTACGGCTATTTTGTTGCTGATCTTTGTTTTTATATCCATGATTAAATGCTGTAACTAATTAATGTATAAGAACGCATCTACCTTTTAAAATCTTAGCTTCTACTAAAACGAACTGAATAATCGTTTTTTAAGATAAATTGTAAGTACTTCTCTCTACGTGATCACGATACTGTCTGCAACTCTGCTATAGATTTCTGTTTCTTATCTTATCATAAAAATTTATCAACAACAAATCTTTAAAAAAGAAATAAATTTCTTGGTCTCTCTATTTATGCCAGCCGTATATGCGCTACAATCACCTCACCTGTGTCATACGGCCGTTCTCGATAAGCAGTTTAACACCTTTACGGTATACATACGTACTCACTTGAACATTACCACTAATGATCCAGGCTGCTTACAAGGCTGCAACTGCTTACACTGAACATAATTTTTTTTAACGTTTTTTTAAAAATAATTAATCTTAATCAATAATTTTTTTATCTAAAAAATCTTTTTTGGTAAAAGTCTTAAGTCTTACCTTCAAAGTCTTTTTTGCATTAGAATAACTTATAATATATTTAAATAATTAAATGGATCTTTAGTCAGAAAATGACTTTGTATTCGAAGATTTTGTCTGACTCCCAATGACTTTAATATTGAAAATGTTAATTCTGGATTTGCTGAAAGAGAGTCGCCCGATTATTAAAACAATGGATGCGATGGTATACATCGTAAGCGACTCCAAGAAACGTGAACCAACTTACCAAGAACGGCGAAGAAAAACAAACAAAGCAAGTACTCCAGAAACTAGAAACATAAGCGATGATACCTAAACGCGCCCGTAATTGGCTTCAAACAAACGTGTTCGGGGAAAGCCTCCGAAAAATCTCGAGAGCGATTCCCTCCCATCCTCTCGCACTCTGATAAACATTCTCCGATTTTCAACAATCGGTGCTTAAAATATCCCTCTCGAGACCGCAAACGCTGCTGGCTCCCTTCTCGCAACGGCGGTCTACTCTCTTCTCTCGACATCATTGAAAAACAACCGAAATTAATCTCTGCTGTCTGCTCCAAGCTGGTCTTGTGTATACCTACCCGTAAAATGCATCGCCGCAGCTTCGATCTATTGTTTTCTAATCGAGCGCTGCAGCAGCAGTGGCTGAAGAATTTCCAGGACGGATCCTCGATTATCCAGCAGTAGCACGAGGCAGTGTCGCTGATTGAAGTAGCCGTGAAGACAAAAGCTCTGTTTGCTCGCGGTGGGCGTAAAGAGGTTGTGTGCATGCGCTCTGCGGGAAAAATATCCGAGAGGCAGGAATGACAGCGAAGCAGGACAGGATGAGAGCCGCACGAGGGGGTGGACTTGCTCATCGGCTGGAGGCGCCTTCTTTTTCCTTCCTCGTGATATTTACGACGTCATTTCCTCGGCTGACTGTCAATAATTTCCCTGGGGGACATGCAGAAGGCAGAGAGCCGCCCACCTCGCGTGCCCTCCTCCCCATCTTCAACGCTGTGTGTGTGTAGGCTTTATACTTTTCACATCTTGAGCTCTTTCTTCTCCTCAGTATATTATGAGCATCTCTAGCTGTGTATTCCAACTTCCTTTCTTCCTCGCCTCGCTTGAAACTGTTCGGTCTTCACTCTTTTCCATTTTCCGCCTTTTTGCACCAACCACCTTCCTCTCCGTCATCGTCGTTTCCCAACCTTTTTTTTATAATCACCTCTCCTATTTTACTTACCACTCCCACTACTTTTACTTCGAGAGCGATTGTTTGTTTTTGCGTTTGAGGTAACAATGTGATTAAGTTTTTCGTTTTCATTTTTTTCTGTACCTATACACTATACAATGTATGTCCTATCACTCCGTTGGTTTTGCAATTTTCTCATGTGTGGAATGTTATGCATGTATGGGATTCTCTCGGTTGGATTGCAGGGTGTTAAAAGAAAACATCGATTTTCTCGAAGGTCATGAATGCAGGGGTTTTCAATTGTGATCATGGATACCTCGTATACCATAATTAGATCCCTTTAACAGTCTTTCTAATAAATGATCTAGTCAACTTCCAATTGGTAACTCCTAGCAGCAAAAAGACATTTGCCTCTAGTCAGACTTTTTATTCTGAATAAAGTGCAATGATGTCCATAGTAATTAAAAAAAAAATTTGTTTTTTGAATAAATAAACATTACATTTTTGTCAAAAAATTATTTTTGAAAAAAATAAAAAAAATTATCAGTGCTCATGTCTTTCTCTAGTAAGATAAATAAAAAGCTTCGCAAGCTCTGTTGTATTCTTCATATTTTTATTTATTTTTTACCTCAGTACATTCATGACTTTGCAGGGCTTGCAAACCTTCTTTAGCAATTAAACAAAATAACGCATCAGTATCGTTGATACATAAAGTACTTTTATGCACCACATAGCATATTGAGTCCACTTACGTAACCTTTTGTTTTTTAAGTTTCATAAAAAATTACAGCCATGATCTTGTTTTCCAGAGCGTTTTTATTTCCAAAAAATTTTAATTTCGCGAGCTCGCTACGTCGAACGTTGAAAAATGAAAAATTGTGCTCCTCGACATGGAAGAAAATTACGGCTTATTGAAAATATCGAGCGCGCAATTGAATAAAAACCAATAAAACGTAAGCGAATTATCGTAGGGTCGCCCCTTCTCTCTGCCGTGGGAGCCCCGAGGCGCACCACGACTATAAGGTTATACGCAGTGAATTAGAAAAAAGGAAGTTGGTTACCACCGCCGATCGGATTACCTTGAAAATAGTATCATAAATCATACCAATGGATTTTCCCTCTGTAAATAAAAATTTAGCATAACACATGTCACGTACTAATACCAACCCCCTTCGAAAGGGAGAATTCCTCCATTCACACGCTCCGATGCCGTGTCTCGTCGATACAATACACGTCATCGTATGCGCATATTCAATTTTTCTAAACCCTCGTTCTCGTTTACCTGTACGTCACGCAAGCCCTTATGCTAATACTTTCACCAGTCACCCTAGTGCCAACTCTTTAGAGTGTGTACATACATTTAAATACATGATCCAATCAATACTCTCTTGTAATTTTGCACAGCGAGATGCTATTGTACCAAAAATTTTTAATTGTACTCTGAACGAAATTTTTGTGCATTTAGCCATAACGATAGAATAATTTAATATGAATGAATTTTAGATGATGGAGTGAGGATGGAATAATGTATTAAGAAGTTGTGACGAGTCTTAGAATAAAAAAAAGAAGCATTTTACGATGTTCTCTTTTGCTCATTACACTCAGGCTAGCAAACGGATGTTAACAAATTTGTAGCCTTTAGGGAGGATTAAACATCCCGAGATGGGAGACGCCACTCGGTGTACATAAATAGTATCCAACGACTACTCGAGTCCAAGTCGAGCATTTAAGGATCCAAAAATACGAGCTATTTTTTCTTTCCCTTCTTTTATCCGTGAGTTTTGTTTAAGCAAGTCCGCGTCGTGTTTACTCACCATTACTCGAAAATTGCCCTCTTACTACTTTACATACACATCTCAGAGTAAGACGAGGACGAAGAAAAAAAACATGTGCATTCTTTTGCTCAGTTATGATATAACTTCCGCCCCGACGTCAGGAGACAGAGGAGTAGCAGATATCCCGTCATTTTCTTCTGCTCCTTCTTTGCTGTGCCTCCCCCCTTTCTTATTTTTCTACCACGGCATGTAATGAAAAGCAGCGAGCCGGAGAAGACGTGCCCGCGGGTGTGTAGCGTCGCCGATCTCCTCGCCTATACTTATACATGGCCCCCGTTGCGGAGTAATATGGGAAAAGTCGGGAGTAAGCGGAATGAAAACTGTCCAGCCGAAGATCAAAGCTGAAGTTTTTTTTTTTTCTTTCTTTTGTCGCAGTTTTTTTTCTCCCTTTCTTCCTTGGGTGCGCTGTTGAAGGGAAAAAAGTCGTGATAACCGTTCGACGGTAAGATTTGGGATTTCTTTTTTCTTTTAGCCTTGTCTATGCAGCGTCGGAAATTTTGGAGAATGGAAAATAGTGTCTTCTCTTGTACAAAGTATCGAACGGAAGAAAGAAAGAAGTTTTTCCGAATGACTGGCTGCGGACTTGGGAAAAATTGCTTTGTTAATAGACCACGACGTCTTAGCTGATTGGACACAAACATGTATATAATAGCTCGTGGGTAGGGGATATTTTGTACATTCAAGGAGTGGTCTTACTTTTTGTTTGGTTGATTATCACATTATGTTGAATCCACTAGTATTTCAAACTTATTAAGTTTTTTATTCTTAAGTATCTTTTTCACAATATAATACGAAAGATATAAATACGAGTAATTACCTTAAATTTCGTATACAAATATTACTAATAATCATTTTGCAAGTCAAAATTCACCTGAGATCTATATAATTTATTTTGATTAAGAATTTGTAAAATATTCTGATAGAAATCTCTTGATTCCTTTTTGAAAATGTTCTTATTGTGACCATTTTTATGCAATAAACACACGATCAGTCAAAAGCTAGGTTATTTATAAAGCTAAGGTGTCATTAAATTATTTATTTAAATCTTGAAAATATGGTCTATTGATCTAGCACCTTTGCGTTGGTTCCGTTAAATTTGTTTAAATAATAGATAATATCTTCAAGTAAAAATAAATTTGGTGGCTAAGGTATATGATAATCTTCTTAATTTCACTTTGTCATCGATTTTGAATTTTGATTTCTGTACGATTTCTCATAATCCCATAACAGAAATCAATAAATATCGAGCTACAAAAAATGCAACCCTACTACGTACCATTTTTTACAACAACTGAAATAAAATATTCTACAGAGTTCACCAAATTGCTAGAAAAAAATCGAAAGTCTCGATCGTAAACAAGGAAAAAATCTCCACGACCCCATCAGCAGGTCTCAACGCAGCACGAGCTCATCTTTATTTTCCAGGGTGCTCCTCGTAATTGAAAAGTTCCAAAGTGACCTTGGCGAAACTTTCACAGAGTTAAACGACATGAAAAAAAAAAAAAAAAAAAAAGATGAGGCAAGCAGAGCTCCAAACAGAGGAGTAAAAGAGAACGAAAGCACAAGGAAAATGGTGGCAGTGAACTCGTGCATAACTTTATTAGCGGGAACGCCGCCCGCAGCTGACCTTAATGGAGAACATCTCCTTTAACTA